GTTTTTCTGTCAATATGGGGTGCTGTGTGTACATTAATGAGGAAAAAAATGAACTTAAATGATTTTAGCATATGGCTGCAATATAACAAAGAGTGAAAAATTTAAGGGGGTCTGAATACTTTCTGTACCCACTGTGTGTGTGTGTGTGTATATATATGTATATGTACTGTATGCATATGTATATATGTGTATGTATTCTTTTTTTGTTCTGGCATGCTGAACTGTCTCAAGGTTGTCGTATCTGGGGTGATTTCACAGTGATTTTCATTATTGGTTAAAATCTAGTTTGCTTTTAAGGTTGTGGTTTTTCATTTTGGGACAAGGTTATTTCACACTTCTGCCTCAGCTGCTTTGCTTTACAATAAATTATTGTTCAAAATAATTTGATATTTTTCAGCTTTTTACCATATCTGTATTGGGTTGAATGCTAATTTACATCATTTTTCAGACTCCAAAAGATCTAGCAATCAGCACCATGATGTGTTAGTTTTCAAAGCAGCTTCCTATTTGTAGCAGAGCCACAAAGAGGCCACATCTACATTCTGCAGGTTCAGTAGCCACAGAAACATGCACGATTATTTCTGTGTCAAAGTGAATGAAGGAAAGTCATGACAAAATACCAACTGTATCGACAAAGAGAAGCAAAGGTCACAGGTAGGGACATTACAGACATGCTTCACAGTATAAGGGGCTGACAAACACTGTTGATTGGTCACAGTAACAGAGTTTGCAGTAAGTTAGGTACTTCAGCTTTAAACTGCCTTATTGCAAATTGTTAGCATTTTCTTTCTACTTTTGTGTTGCAGAGTCGGTGTGGAACCAGATCAAGACCTGCAGCCGTATGGAGACAACTTCCAGGTCTTACAGGGGGTGAGGAAATCCTTATTTCTATAGTTACTGCAGCTCTCACTGCTGAGTTTGTTCTGCTTCTGACATTTTATGTTTATACCATGCACAGCCAGCAAATCTGAAGACATTTGAATTGTTCATTTTGTATAGGAAATACTGGTGAATGTGATAAACTGGTGAAAGAAGAACTACTTCATTAGTTGTCTAACATTATACGTTCTGTAATTTTCTCCTCACTTCATTCCTATGTAGTTTAATATTAACAGACCACCATGGGAGTGTGAGGCATGCAGGCCACCTTGGAGCTAGAATGTGATGTTAATGGTTACGCTGATCAGATTCTCGTGGACTTTGGTTATTGATGATTTGCCACAAGCCAGGATTGTTCAGTTCTGCAAAGCTTTGTTAGACTGATATACCAACATTTCATCAGTGATTTATAAAGAGAAACTAAACTAAACTCAACTAAAGGTTTCTGAGACCACTGGAACCAGAACACAAGGCATTTAATTAAGAAATTATGTTGGGGATTACTAGTTTTATTTCTAAAATATATTGAATGTGTTTTAATAAAAAAAAATATATTTGAAACTTTAAATTAGTGTGTTAATTATAAATCAGATTGGCTCCTTTACTGAAAATGATCATACAGTTGTAGGTTTGTCTGACTTAGAACAAACATCTACAAGTACTAGGCTTATGATCATCACCCCAGTACCAATAGCATGCACTTTCCTTAGCAAGAATCCAGAAGCACACAAAGTTTGCAGTCTAATTCACCTAACTAATGCCTAACTAATACAAACGATGGGCATGTGAAAACAGTGGAAACATTGTGCAGCACAGTGTAAAGGACAATAAGACCAGTTACAGCGCTGTTGCCCCAGTGCACAAGTTTTTCCCCAAGCACCAATGTCATATAGCTGCAATCATATGATTGGCTTCAGCCTCAGCCGATCATATGATTGCATATGATGCAGGTGAGATTCTGATGACTTTTTCTTGTGGTTCTCCAGGATGACATCCAGGCTGATGGACAGAGTAAAACCAAACAGGAGAGTGCATGGCTCTTCAGACTTTGGTACACCTTCGATCACAAGTATCCTTTGTGTGCCCTGCTTTGCAGAAACAAAAACAAGCACACAACAAGCACAGCTCTTTGTGGTAATATCAGGCCTCATATCAAGTCAGGAGGATTATCTAGAGCCTATTTTTATTGGTACACAGTATAAGTCATCATAGTAATGCTCACAAGTGTTGTGCGTATTAGATCATCCTGGCATATGGGATCAGAATAACATATGAAATAAAATAAAATGTTTGCTTTTCGTGTTCAGTTTGGCTTTAAATACACACTTAAGAAACATGGGTTTAGCAGCTTATCCTCCCATTTCCTCCCTCCTTCCTTCTGCTAAACAATTGCCTCCCCAGGTGGCAAATTGTATAGCTGCTCTTCAGCAGAGCAGCTGTTTCACCGGGGAGACTTTCTCCCTGGTGACATATGCTAGATGCAGCTGAAACAAGCAGGGTGGATTTCTCATTTCTCAGCTCTGCGGAGGCTGAGGTAAACATACATGACACAGTGCTTTGGTGTAGTGAGTTTAGCGGCTTATTGTGTAGGGGACTCCATTTCTGTGTAGCAGACAATTGACAGAAATTGTGTAATGGGCTGTTGATTTTGACTGCTGAGTCTTTTTTTGTTTTTGTTTTTTGTTGAATGGTCTGACCCGACCAGTTGAACAAGAGTTCGGATTTTCTCAGAATGCAATAACATAACAAGGAAGAGGCGGAGCAAGCCAGTGGTTCACTCCCTGCTGCCAAGCATCACAAAATGACGTTACCCTCCCCAGCTGCTCACAGAATCCCGTGCAGATTTAATCCCTTTGTATATGGTTCATTGGCTGCAAGTAGTAAATTGTTTATTAATGCTTTATCAGTGAGATATAAGCAAGTGATATGAACAAATTGTTACATGCCAGGAGAATAGCTTCTTTTACCACGATACTTGAAATTACAACTTACCTTCTGGAAAATGTCAGCAGAGCACTTGGAGGACCACGTCCATTTACATACATCTTATTAACATTTGCAGCTACAGACTTGGTGGATTACTGTAAACTACTGACATTTATAACTGCACCATTACTGTACAAATGTTAGTAAGCTGATAACTTCTTTCGGTTCAAATGCCCTGTGTCATTTCTCTAAAGTGTTTGTTGGAGGGGTCTGGCTGATGAATTAAGAGCTAACTAATAAGACAAAGCAGGTGTCATGCTGGATGAGAATTTTTCGCAACCTGGTAACCCAAACTATGCTTTCATTAAAGGTCTATAAGCGTTTTGTCAAGCTTTAGAAAATTATTTACGGTTACTGCTGCTCCTACTCCTGTGTGGACTGCTGTTTCCTGTTCCTGCGGTAATCATACTCCCTGTTTCCTGTGTCTGTACTGTGTTGTGCCTGCTACCAGATTGTATACGGATTAAGCTCACTATTTTCTAGGTGGGTTATCTTAGAAGCTAGCTAAGCTAGTATCTTAGTTGAGAGCAATAGATTCCCCTCTTCCTCTCCTTCTTCCTCATGCTCAGTGTCGCATGTTCAGTTATTCCTCTGCCTCCTTTAGCCATAATGGTACTTGTAATAAATGTCAGGTGCTAACAGCATTGGAGGCGAGGCTCACAGACTTGGAAGTGCAGCTCTGCACCATGGAGAACAGCCCAGCTAGCCAGTCCCATGTAGTCGGTGTGGAGCCCCCTAGACATATCTTAACCCAAGCTACCTGACCCCCAGAACTTCCCGAACAGCCTGGATCTCAGACAGGTGGCTGGGTGACAGTTCGCAAGAGTCGTAGCTCCAAACAAATGTCCACGGAGCATCACCTGCCTGTTCACGTTTCAAATCGATTTTCCCCACTCAGCGACACACCCGCTGAGAAAACAACTCTGGTAATTAATAGTCAGAAATGTGAAGTTAGAGACACCGGCGGCCAGTCAGATGATTTCCTGGGGCCAGAGCCGGCGACATTGAACCAGATAAGTCCGCAAATACAGAGACGTTGGAATTATTCACACAAATACTGTAAACTTTGAGTCAAAGTATAATTTAACAGTAATAATGTTTTAAGAAGCCTAACCCCAGAAGCTAAAATGCTACAAGTCCCCCCCCCCACTCCCACTCAATAAATAGTGTAAAACAGGAATGAAATGGTCAGAGTCAACAGGTTAAAAGGCACCATTAAAAACTACAAAACAATGAATCAACCAAATATAAGAGGGCCTTGCCTCCCTGTGCCTAAAACCATTCACACACTGTTCACACCATAAAATTGACTAAACCTTATTTAATACAATGAATAGGGAACATAAGGCTGGGTAAACCTCTTTACATAAAAACAAGGCAAAACGTTGCATAAGCAAAACACTATGTAAACAAAGCACTACCTAAGCAAAGCATAAACAAAACAGCAGTGGCTATCACCCCTTGGCTGCACGTCACCCTAGCACAGCATGTGCAATGGACGCCAACTTCTACTGGATCACGCTCGCATCAATTATCGCTCCTGAAGAACATGCGGCAATCTCCTAAAAACAGCCTTAAAGAGAAGCAGGACACAGCTCAATGGAGGGAGATTCACATGAGACCGCTTACAGCAGCAACCAGCACAGAAATTGCTTCTGACAACAGCGTCTCCCCAGGTGTTATTTATATCCATGATTGTTCTGCCAAATTACTAACCAGGCGGTGTGGGCGTGGCCAACCCGCCGGTTACATAAAGAAGAAATTCTTTTCATAAAATCATTTTAAATTCTTACCAAACAAAAATCATAGAAACGATGCTGCTGCTGCCATGGCAACAGACATGTACAAGTATTAAAATAATCAGCCTTAACTCCCTCAAATATCTTTTGTAATTAATTTCTCCTGGTTGCAAAAAGAAATTCCTCTTCATGCATGTCATGTTGGTTGTTGTTTATTTAAGTCCATTTCAACACCCTCCTCTTCCTACGAACATGTATAAAGTATGAGACAAGGCCCTTCTTAAAGCAGAGCGACCTCCCTCTCAGGCTTTTCATAAGACAACCCAGAGATGAGTCCAGGATGCAGGGTCACAGTCTCGCATGCCTCTCTTTACCACTGCTCCCCACCCAAAACTCCCAGTACCCCATAGAGACTGTGTCTGCCCACCACCACCACCACCTCCTACATTATATAAATCAAAAATCAACTCAAGAGCAGGTTATCCATAAGAACCTAATTAAAATTAAGACTACTCTTATAGGACAAAATAACAGGACAATCAAATGTGGACTATTAAATATCAGATCTCTCTCTCATCTAAATCTCTGTTAGTGAATGATTTGATAAGTGAACATCACATTGACTTACTGTGTCTTACTGAAACATGGTTACAGCAGGAAGAACATGTTGGTCTAAATGAATCTACCCCACCTAGTCACAGTAACTGTCACATCCCTCAAAACACAGGCTGAGGTGGAGGTGTGGCAGCGATCTTTGACTCAAGCCTATTAATCAACCCTAGACCTAAACATAGAAAGTCTCACCCTGAGTCTCACACACCCAAACTGGAAAACTCAAAAGCCTGTTCTGTTCTGTTATTGTATACCGTCCACCTGCTCCTTATTCAGAGTTTTTAAGTGAATTCTCAGACTTTGTCTGATTTAGTGCTTAGTACAGATAAAATAATCATAGTAGGCGACTTTAATATTCATGTAGATGCTGACAATGACAGCCTCAACATATGCATTCTGTGCATTATTAGACTCAGTTGGCTTCTCTCAAACTGTAAATAAACCCACTCACTGTTTTAATCACACCCTTGATCTTGTTCTGACGTATGGCATCAAAACTGAACACTTAATAGTTTTTCCCCAAAACCTGCTTCTGTTTAACCATTTTTTAATAACTTTCGAATTCACATTAATGGATTATACTCTATGTGGGAAACAATTCCACTACAGTAGATGTCTATCTGACAATGCTGTTACGAAGTTTAAGGAAATAATTCCATCATTGTTTACTTCAGTGCCATGTGCCATCACAGTTGAGGGCGGCCACCTTAACTTTACTCCAAGACGATAATCTTGATAGTGCTGCAGCCTCCCTGCATACAAAGCTAGATACTGTTTCCCCTCTGAAAAAGAAAAGCCCAGTGAAAGTCACCAATGATCTTCTCCTAACCTCAGATAAAGGACTTGTCTCCATACTTGTCCTCTTAGATCTCAGTGCTGCTTTTGACAACATTGATCACATCTTACTACAGAGACTTGAACGTGTTATTGGGATTAAAGGAACTGCACTAAGTTGGTTAAAATCTTACTTATCAGAAAGATTCCAATTTGTTCATGTTAATGATGAATCTTCCACACAAACTGAAGTTAGTCACGGCGTTCCACAGGGCTCTGTGTTAGGTCCAATTCTCTTCACTTTATACATGCTCCCTTTAGGCAATATTATCAGGAAGCACA